CGTTGCTGCGCACAGGCTTTCTCTAGGTGCAGAGAGTGGGGGCTACTCTTCGTTGCACTGAGCGGGCTTCTCATTGCGGTGGCTTCTCTTGTTGCGGAGCACAGGCTCTTGGCACATGGAATTCAGTAGTTGTGGCCCACAGGCTCAGTAGTTGTGGCTTGCGGGCTCTAGAGCACAGGCTCAGTAGTTGTGGTGCACGGGCTTAGTTGCTCCACGGCATGTGGGATCTTCCTGGACCAGGGCCCAAACCCGTGTCCCCTGCACTGGCAGGCAGATTCTTAACCACTGTGCCACCAGGGAAGTCCCAATCTTCATCCACATTTTTTCTTTTTTTTTTTTTTTTTTTTCAGTACGCGGGCCTCTCACTTTTTTTGCCTCTTCTGTTTTTGAGTACAGGCTCCAGATGCGCAGGCTCAGCGGCCATGGCTTACGGGCCCAGCCGCTCCACGGCATGTGGGATCTTCCCGGACCGGGGCACGAACCCGTGTCCCCGCATCCGCAGGCGGACTCTCAACCACTGCGCCACCAGGGAAGCCCTTCATCCACTTTTAATTCTATAGTTTCAGCCTCTATCTTCCTCTGTGACCACGGATTAATTGCTTACTTTCTCTAACAGGCTTCGATTTCTGCATCTGTGTGTCATGAGGGTCCTGGACCAGAAGGTCTCTGAGGTCCTTCCAGCTCCGACATCTGTGGCTCTTAATGGAGAAATTTCTTGGAACAAACTTAGCTTCTCCACTGTCCCCGGAAGCCCCAAACTTAATTTTCTTCCGAGACTCCCAGCTGTTCCTGCAGCCAGCAGCGCTCTCCGCTTTCTCTCCATTTGTTTTCCAAACCCCGGTTGTCCTTTACGACGTGGCTTCAGCCTCACCCACTATATCCCAGGATATCCTGATCTTTAACTCTCCTAGGACTTCAGCTGTGAACCACAACTGAGCACTCTCCACTGATGGCACTGTATCCTTCACCTTACTGTTCTGTGTACCTTCATGCCCTCGCCCAGACTAAGCTCTCAGCACGCAGGGACCAGTCATGTTTCTGTGTAACCCTTAAAGGACCTCACACTAAGTTGGTCAGCAGTAGTTGCTCAGCCATGCTGGCTGGTTGGCTGAGGGTCATCCTGAAGCCACTGAGGAAACTAGTGGTCCGTGTACAAGACTCTGGTGTGAAGGAAGACCACCCCTACCTTCCACGCCTCTCTTACACAGAAATTTGTAAAACATCAACTTTTTATTCAAAAGCATCATCCAAATTTAGCAATAGGGAAGCTCAGCTAACTCCTTGATTTTCTTCTCTCCGAATCAGAAACTGTTACAGCCACGTTTCCCTTTGATCCAAATGTAAGTGATCGCAAGTGCTGCAGCTTTCTGCGCCTCTGTTTGACCCGGGTTCTACTTCCACTAACACACATTCTCCACGGTTATTAAGTTCCCTGACTTTTCAACACATATAGCATTATGTTACTTCCTCACACTTGCAACTCAACTTCCAGGAAACATCTGGAATAATATCAGAGAGTTGGTGTTTGATCAAAACTACATCCTCTGCTTTATTCACTTGGAAGTGACTAATTTCAACCCTTAGGCTTGAAGTTGAGCGCACATGGCTGGGTATGTTTCAGGAGTTTGCACCAACAGAGAAGACAGGTCGTCAGTGAAGCATCTACAGCAGTGTTCACCTCCTCGGCCCTAAGAGAACTACCAAGGTACTACTCATACCGGGAGTGCTGTTCTCTGTTTGGTAACAATCCTGGGTCACTACTGATGGCTCAAAGTGAATCCCAAGCTTCCCCAAGCAGAATTTTAAACTCAGTTTAAAATTTTGTTTTCAGGGCTTCCCTGGTGGTGCAGTGGTTGAGAGTCCGCCTGCCGATGCAGGGGACACGGGTTCGTGCCCCGGTTCGGGAAGATCCCACATGCCGCGGAGCGGCTGGGCCCGTGAGCCATGGCCGCTGAGCCTGCGCGTCCGGAGCCTGTGCTCCGCAGCAGGAGAGGCCACAGCGGTGAGAGGCCCGAGCGGTGAGAGGCCCGTGTACCGCAAAAAAAAAAAAAAAAAAACAACCATTTTGTTTTCAGTGAATGCGCCACAGCACTGGTGCTCAACGCTGGTCACACGTGAGAATCCTCGAGAGCAGTGGTCCCCAACCTTTTTGGCACCAGGGACCGGTTTCGTGGAAGACAATTTTTCCATGGACCCGTGGTGGGGTGGTTATGTTTCAGGCCGTAATGCGAGCGATGGGGAGCGATGCGGAGTAGGCAGAGGAAGCTTCGCTCGCTTTCCTGCCACTCATCTCCTGCTGTGAGGCCCCATTCCCAACAGGGGCCCGGGGGTCGGCGACCCCTGATCTAGAGCACGTTCATGAACACCAATCAATGCCCAGCTTCCTTCCCACCAACCCAGCCTTCCAAGATTTCCATTTAATTGCTATGGAGTGAGATCTACACATCAGTATTTTCTTCAAAGCATCTCAGCTATACTGAATGAATTAAGGTAATCTTTTAGGTACAATAAGGGCACTCTGGCTGTGTTTTTGAAAAGGAGTCTTTCATTAGTGGAAAAACTGGTGAAATTCAAATAAGGTCTCTGTTTAGTTAATGGTATTGTACCAATGTTAATTTCCTGGTTTTGTCTTTGGGCTAAGGTTTTGTAAGATGCTCACTTTAGAGGAAGCTGTGTGAGAAGCATACAGGAACTCTCTGAATTATGTTTGTGACTTTTCTCTAAGTCTAAGAGTAATTCAAATTAAAAAGGTTTTTAAAGGAGTCCTTTATTTTTAAAGATGCATACTTAAATACTCAAGAATGAAATGATACGCCTGAGATTTCCTCCAACACAAACCAGTTAGGAAGATGGCAGGGAGGGAGTCGGGGTGTGGATGAAACAGGCGTCTTCACAAGCTGATATCTGTAGTAGCTGGGCAATGAGGACAGGAAGGGTATCTGTCTACTTCAGTGTGTGTGTAAAATGTTCCGTCATATATATTGGAGGAAAAAACTCCCAGGTGATTCTAACACTCATTCAGGGCCAAAAAAACACTGCTCTGGAGTCCTGAAAATGTGGTATAATGAGCTCTGTCTGGTACTATCAGCTACAAAATACTTCACCCAGCTCCTTGGCAATGAATTAGTCACTTAATCTTTCTGTACCACACATTCCTAACTATGAAATGACAGGAATGGAGTAAAGGACCTTTCAAAAAAAAGACAGGAAGCATTAAAAAGCTGATTTATTCTAAAATCTTTTGAAAGTTAATATCATAATTAATTTCTAGCACAGTCAAAAATGATAAGGTCTTACATCCACAAAAGCATTTTCCCAAAGGATGCTCTAAAAAACACTATTTCTATAAGATGTTAATAGATGTTACCTAAGATACGGGTTCCGAAATCAAATAAGTTTAAAAAGTGTTGATTTTCTTTACTGTAAGATTCCTAAGAACTTTTAAATAAGATAACATGCATTGTGACTTTCCAAGGGTGGTTATGAAATATGCAAAAAGTCTGACCTTCTTTACATGGAACTAGTTTTATGGAACTTATTTTGGAAAACAATGCTCTAGACCAGTGGTTCCCAAATACCAGGTAACGGAGAATGGCATTAGTATCATTTGGTAAGTTTATTAAAATAATGATTCACAGACCATGTCCTAGACCTACTGGAGGAGAGGAGAATTCAGTATTCAAAGAAACAAAATCCAATAATAATAATTCATATAATCCCATGCATAGTCATGTTTGGGACTTAAGCTCTTTAGATCATAACGTAGTAAAATAAATATAGTATCTGAAAGGCCACATAGATGCCAACCAAAATAAAAGGTCATATTGAATTGTTTTCCATATAAAAGTATTTAGTCCATGAGAGAAGCATACATGCATACAACATTTTATGAAAGGTAAGTAGTAAAATGCTGGAGGTGTTGACAAATTTAAATCTATCAGTATAACTAATGACTACTTAGTTATAGACATACTACATCCTTGAGATTACAAACTGATCATTAATTGCAGTGATTCTCCACCCTTTCCTTGTGTAGTTCCTCATGTCCACCTTCTCTTGCCAGAGTCAATGATCAGGACTATTTTGTTAAACTCCAAGCAGTGCCATTCACATAAGTCGTTTCTCCACGATGCAGCTCCTGACCTTTTCTTTTTATGACGTTACTTCAAGGTAACAGAACAGAAATCCCTTCTTGATTGAAAACTTTGGAAAACGTATTTACTTATACCTTGGTGCTCCCAGAGCTGTGCCATGCAGTGGCCTAATCAGTGTTATATTTAAATGCTTAAAAGGGTACCTACTTTCTGTTATTCATAATTACTCAACATGTGTACCACACTCTTTCATTTACTAAGTACTTTCACATGAATTATCTTGTGTCTTTCCTCACAAAAACCCTGTGGGTTAAGTAGGCATAATTGTTTCTATCCAACTGATAAGAATCACCGAGTTTTTCCTGCTAACACAGTGAAAAATATAATTGAGGGAGATGTCAGGGCTCCTGCTCTCAAAGAACTGATACCCGACTGGAAAACAAAATATAAATTACACGCAGGAAAGGGTTGAAATCAATTAATGTTAGCCAAAGCAAATCAGTATGGCAGGACTTCACATATACTAATAACAGTTAACACTTACTAAGCAATTTAATATTCACTCAACCCTGCGGGTCGATTACTACGGTTAGACCCATTTTTCAGATGAGGAAAACTGAGACCAAGAGAAGTGAAGTAACTTTCCCAAGCAAATAAGCGGTGAACCAGGATTCAAACTCCAGATTAGTCTACTCCATGGACCACTCTTTTCCACCATCACATTCCACTGCTGGGAAAGACAATTTTCTCAAAGCAATGGGGACAGATGTCAAGACATTTAGATAGAAAATGACTATTTCCCAGAAAGTTGGGATCACTGGCTCTACACCCCAGGAGAAAAGGACTCGGGAGTCACAGGGAGGCACAAGATTGAGTCAGCCATGATATTTTCTCACAATAAGTTACCTCTTTGATTCGTTTGACCAAAGCGTTCTGATCAAAAGCAACAGCCTCTGCACACTGCCGGAGGTGATCCTGATAACGGAGGCAGAGCTGCAGCACATGCTGAGAATCCAACTTCTCCAGTCTGGTGTTTGTTGGAGAAGTCTGGCCACTCAGCAGCCCTTGGAAGCAAAAAAATAATAAAACCAAATGAGATGGAAATTACTAACAAGCTTGTGAATAAAGCAGCTTAGTAACAAGTTCACTGAAGGCAGGGTAAGAGGCTTAAATTTAATCTTGCATCTTTTGTCATATACCTGTGACAATCACAGCAACTATCATTTATGGAGCATCTTATGGGCCAAGCACTTGGCACAGTGCCTCCTGTGCATCACTTTTCATATAATCGCTCAGGAAAGTAAATTATTATTAGCCCCGTTTTATAGGCGAGAAACCCAAGATGCTGCGAGTCACATAATAAGTGATTTCTCCAAGACAGAGCACCTGACCTTACGGCACTACTTTAAAGCATCAGGAGTATAAACCCCCTCTTGACTGAAAAATCTTGAAGATGTACCTACTTAATTCCTTTAACTAATTAAAATGGTTGTCTGAGAAACAGAAAGAATGTATATATATATGAAACTGTTAGGAGGAGATGCAAAAAGGAAAACATTTAAAAGGTGAACAGGATGTCCACTAACACACCATAAGCCTCAACCTTTACATTTTCTTTCAACATCAGTTTAGTTGTATAACTATTAAATTCCCTTAAATTTGAACAGGACGTTATATTTTCAAAGCCTTTCACACAGAATTATCTTCCCTTCCTTTAAGGTGTGTAGAACCGGATGAAATACCGGTTCTTCAAAAGATGAAATACCAATGAAAGAGGCTAAATGACGTGCTCAGGGTCACACAGCAAAGTCCTGACTAGAACTCAAGCCTCCTGACTTCTGGTCAAGTGCTTACTGTCACCCTGAAGGTTCACAAACTTTCTGGTGTCAGGACCCCTTTACCCTCTCAGAAATTACTGAAGACCCCCAAAGAGCACTTGTGTATGTAGTTTAAATCAATATTCATCTGTTAAAAATTAAAACAGAAAATTCTTGAATATTTATTAAGTCATTTTAAAAACTAATAATCCCATTACATGTTAACATAAATAACATATTTTAAAGAAAATAACTCTACTCCCCAAAACAAAAAAGTGAGAAGAGTGGCACTCGTTTACATTTTTGTAAGTCTTTTAAATGTCTTGGCTTCATAGAAAACAGCTGGATTCTCAGACTTGCTTCTGCATTTAATCTGTTGCTATTTCACATCATGTAGCCTCTGAGAAACTCCACTTTACACTTGTAGGAGAGTGACAGTAATTAGCAAATGTCTAAGTATTACTGTGAAAATAGTTCTGACTTCAGAGAATCCCTAGCAGGGCCCTGGGGCTCTCAGGCACTCCCCACCCCGCTGAGAGCAGTACCCTCACACCAGAGCCAATGGCACAACACAGGTCCTCCGAAATAAACACGACAGCACATGCGCTGCACACCACCAGGATGAACTCGCCCACATCAAAGTCTGTCTTGGGATGCCTTCCCCAATCCTCCACTAATCTGTTCACCATTTCTAAAATTTTGTCATTTCAGGGGCTTCCCTGGTGGCGCAGTGGTTAAGAATCCGCCTGCCAGTGCAGGGGACACGGGTTCGAGCCCTGGTCCAGGAAGATCCCACATGCCGCGGAGCAACTAAGCCTGTGCACCACAACTACTGAGCCTGTGCTCTGGAGCCCATGAGCCACAGCTACTGAAGCCCACGCACCTAGAGCCCGTGCTCCACAACAAGAGAAGCCACCGCAATGAGAAGCCCGTGTACCACAACAAAGAGTAGCCCCTGCTCGCCGCAACTAGAGAAAGCCCGTGGGCAGCAATGAAGACCCAACGCAGCCAAAAATAAAATAAATAAATGTAATTAAAAACAAAAAAGAATAAAGGAGAGTTAAATAAATAAATCAATAAAATTTTGTCATTTCAAAAATGTTCAAAAATGGAATAATCTAACATGTAAACCTTTTGGGATTTTTTTCACCCAACATAATATTGGGTTGGCCAAAAAGTTCATCGGGTTTTTCCGTAAGATGTTACCCAATACCTTAGAGATTCATCTAAGTTGTTGCATGTATCAGTAGTTTGTTCCTTTTATTTCTAAGTAGTATCCCACAGTATGTACATCCCAGAGTTTGGTTAACCATTCACCCACTGAAGGCCGTTTGGGTTGTTTCCAGTTTGGCGACATGACAAACGAAGCAGCTATACAGCTGTCGTACAGGTTTTTGCGTAAACGTAAGTCTTCCTTTCTCTGGGATAAATGCCCAACAGTGCAATTGCTGGGTCGCATGACAACTGCATGTTTAGTTTTATGAGAAATGGCCAAACTGTTTTCTAGAGTGCCCGTAACCTAGCAAATGGGGGGCTTTCCAGACCACCAAAATCTCCTAACAAAATTATCAAGGGCTACCCTACTACTGACAAAGAACACAGTTCCAGGAGTGCAGACTTCGGAAGAAAGGAACAGCTTTTTGCTGTCAATCGAGGATTGAAGTAGAAAAAGAGTGAGAACGGGGAGTTCTCTGCTAGTCTAGTGCTTAGGATTTGGTGCTTTCACTGCTGTGGCCCGGGTTCAACCCCTGGTCCAGGAACTGAGATCCTGCAAGCCATGCAGCACAGACAAAAAAAAAAAAAAAAAGAGTGAGGAGGCAATGTGGGAAGAGGAATGAATGACTCTGTGCCATCAGAAGTGGGCCAGGATAATGCAAAGGCCATAAAGGAAACACTGATATATCCAACAAGATAAAAAACAAGATTCCTCATGGCAAAAACAATATAAGTTAAAAACAACAACAACAAACAAACAAACAAACCCACTGCTACTCATATCACAAAGGGTAAGCTTCCTATTGGATAAAGAGCTCCTAGAAATTGGCAAGAAAAAAATCAGCAAAAGAAAGACGGACAGAGGATATGAATGGCGTTTCACAGAAAAGTAAATACCAAGGCCTCAACTCTAAGATGCAGAACCTCGCTCATCATAAGAAAAATAGAAATTAAAGCTTCACCTCAAGCCGATATTACACCTATCAAATAGGTAAAAATCCAAGAGTGTGATAAAAACTCTCTAGGTGGAACTATAAGGAAACAGGCATTGCTGATTTTTATGTAAGTTGTTACTGCCATGGAGGGTGATTTGGCAAAGATATCAAAATTACAAATGCATAAATTCTCTAATGCAGCAATTTCTCTACTAGGAATTTATACATACATTAGCACACATGCTAAATGTCATATAATTATGTATAAGAGTGTTCACTGTAGCAGTGACTGTAATAGTAAAAGATAAGCAAACACCTCAGTATCCATCAGTAGGGAGCTTGCTAATTAATCAAGGAACATCCATAAATGGAATTATGTGACCACAGAAAAGAATGAGGAAGGTACATACTCACATGGAAAAATCTCCCTAAGATATTAAGTAATAAAAGGAAGGCATAGACTTCCCTGGTCGCGCAGTGGTTAAGAATCTGCCTGCCAAAAAAAAAAAAAAAAAAGAATCTGCCTGCCAATGCAGGGGACACAGGTTCGGGCCCTGGTCCGGGAAGTTCCCACATGCCGCGGAGAAACTAAGCCCATGCGCCACAACTACTGAGCCTGTACTCTAGAGCCCGTGAGCCACAACTTCTGAGCCCTCACACCACAACTACTGAAGCCTGCACGCCTAGAGCCCGTGCTCCACAACAAGAGAAGCCACCACAATGAGAAGCCCGCGTACCACAACGAAGAGTAGCCCCTGCTCGCCGCAAGTAGAGAAAGCCTGCGTGCAGCAACGAAGACCCAATGCAGCCAAAAATAAACAAATAAATTTATTAAAAATAAAAGAAAGGTATATAGAATAGTGTATGGAGTGTGCTACCACCGTGTAAAAATTGGGGAGGGGTACAAGTAAATAAAAACATATATTCATATTTACTTGCATTGTCATAAAGAAACTCTGGAATGACTCCAAGAACGAGACAGTTGGAGAACAAGGGTAGGGAAGGAGAATTTCAGAGTATACTTTTAACATTTTTAAAACCATATGAATGTATTTCCCTTTCCAAAATGTTCACATAAATAAAGTCATTTTAACAAAAAGCAGCCAAGGTCCTTCTCATCTATCAGCGATGTCCTCTTGGGTGTTCTCTCCCCTTCCCCACCCCAAGTATCCCCAACTCTGTCCGTCAAAACCAGTTCCCTATCTTTCATGCTCACCAGGGCCTATATGGCTGGATGTACCTTCAAACAGTATCTTCTCCAAGGTGATTAAAAGCCTAACAAACTGTGAGCTGCTGGAGAACAGGGACCATGTTTTACTTTTTATCCCGTGCATTACAGCACCTGGTACATAAAAGGTTCTCCAACTAGGCTAAGAGGATGCAGTTCTGTTGCTGGAATTCCAAGGGAAGAGTGAGCTGAGGGAGACTTTAGGAGGAAAAAAGGCTTCTCGGGGTCCCTACTCTGTCTTCTCCACATATACTTCGGAGTGAGGCGTGGTCTCAGTCCGCATCTGCTCCTCCCAGGTGAGTGAGGAAGATTTCCAGAGGCTGCACTGAAGAGCGGCAAGGCGGAAAGCTCCAGGGCCAGCCCAGGTCACCAGAGGCCTGAAGCAGAGGGCCCCAAACCCAGCGTTAGCTCTCAAACCAAAACCCTGACTCTTCCTCTTAAAAAAAAAAAGGTGGGGGAAGTGGGGGGAAAGTTGCCAAGTCTAGAAGGCACACTACGGTGTTCAAATCAAGCTGCTCAGCCAACTCCAAAGTCAAAGAAATTACACTTCCAATCACCCTTTTAAAGCACAATTGCACCCTCCCCCAAATCACCTCAAAACAAAGGCCAGGTACGGGGGTCTATCATCAGAATGTGCTCCTTAGACTCACAGGAGTCTCTGAAAATCTGCCACAAATCCTGCTCTAGAACACAGAAGGAGCAAGACAGAGAGAAAAAGACGGGCCACTTTTTCTACTCCTGAAGCTACAGAGCTATGGCAAGACAGGCCAACCCTACAGGCAACGAGTACAAAGTTTTCCCATCACTCTCAAGTGTCAGGAACCCGTCTCCCCCATTTTGATGACTGACCCACTCCTATATCTTCTGAT